GGACTCCAGGATCATGACCTGAGCTGAAGGCAGTTGCCCAACCAACTGAGCCACCCAGGTGCCCCAGCCCCGGAACATTCTTAAAGGTCATCCTTGTAGAAGTATTAGCCCTTACTCCCAACGTTAGCCACCCACAGCCCAAGGGAGTCCTATAGCTCTGCAGGGCTTCCTGTGTGATCTGCTTCCTATGGTGGCCCAACACGGTGAGCTAGAGGCTCTGCCCTCACTTGCCTTCCCAGCTGCGTCTGCTGTCCCTTCCCTCCATGCCTCGGTCCCCTCACAAGTCAGGTGGTGCTAACAGCTACGATGTAAGGAGCAGGTGGGCACAGTGCAGGGCCTAGCAGGGGCTTGGACACAGAAAGCACCCAGTGGACCTCATTTCCCTGCCTCACTGCACCTCTCTCTGCAGGGAGCTAACTGGGATTGGACACTCTGGACCTCAAGTGAGGGGATCTGGAACCCTTTTAGGAAGTGCTTTTCTGGGAAAACAGACCTGCTCAGTCCTCTCTGCCTTTTCCAGGGGATCCCCTAAGCTAGTTCTGAGACCTCCTTGGTGGGCCCTTGCCTTCCACATTCTTAGCCAGAGAGGTGGGACCAGTGGGTGGGGGATTCCTACTAGAGGTGAGGTGGTGTCTGCCCTCAGATCAAAACAAGCTGCGGTCTGAGGAACCCAAGGCAGTCTATGCTGATGTTCTGGGACATTTGTGCGGCTTGGGATGGGGTGTGGTGGCAGGTGAAAAGGACAAAGGAAGAGAGGGAAGGAGATGTGTAGGGTGGATAAAGCACCCCCTTTCAAGGGAGCCCACAAAAGGCTCTTCCATGTCTTCTAGGCCCATCTCCTTACCAGTCCCGGGGGAGGGATGGAGTCCAACCCAATACCATTCAATCCCCAATTGGGGAATGAGGTAGTCACAAGCCCAGGACCCAGCCACAGTCAGGCTCCCACACTGTGGGCCACGAAGACGAGAGGAGAGCACCCCTCCGACAATGGGTCACATGTGCAGACCACAGTCTGTGGGGTAGACCCTGCCCGGAGGGGGCAGACAGAGAAGGGGACAGTGAGGCCCACGCCTCACCTGCAGCCAACCACAGAAATTCCTGGAACATACCTTTCTTCCCATCTCCAGACGTAAACTCGTTCGGGAAGCACTCCTGTGAAACAAAACCGAGGTGAGACAAACCCGCAAAGTCCGGCTGAGGGGGCCTCAGGGGAGCAAGTTACAGGCAGAGAAGGAATGGCCTGTACTCGCCGGGCGATCAACAAGTACTTATGAAATGTCCCCGCTGAGTCGCCAGCACTGGGCCAACACAGGCGGCCAGCAGGGAATTTGACAGGCAAGGTAAAAACCCCGACTTTGTCTCTGCGGAGTTTATAATCTGCTGGGAGGGAAAAAAAAAAAAAAAGACGTTGAGCAGAGCGGTTCTCAGGCCTGTGGAAGGCGGCTGAGGTTTGTCTGCCTGGGAAATAAAGCCCCAGCTTGGGGTCTCTGAGGGGACTAAGGGGGTGCTCACACACTGCTGTCAGAACTTCCCCCCAAAGCCTAATGGAAACAGTACCTGAAGCCGTGATGGGGTTACACAGGCTAATGAAAACACTGAGTTTCTTCATATTGCCAGAAATTGGACTGACTGACTGTAGATACCTTGATTACCCCAGCCTGAGCAGATGCTCTGATCAGTTTGACATCCGATTAATAAGAATGAGGAAGAGGATTATTACGTAACAAACGCATTGTGTTTTGTAGTCAAGTTCACTCAGTGCATGGGTCAATGGGGAAAAATATGAAACAGGAGGGGCACCTGAGTGGCTCAGTCGGTTAAGCGTCTGCCTTCAGCTCAGGTCATGATCCCGGAGTCCTGGGATCAAGCCCCGCATCGGGCTACCTGCTCTGCGGAAAGCCTGCTTCTCCCTCTCCCACTCCCCCTGTTTGTGTTCCCTCTCTCGCTCTCTCTCTCTAATAAATAAATAAAATCTTTTAAAAAAATTAAAAAAAATATGAAACAGGAGACTTGGTGGGACAGGGTGAGAGCCTTCCAAAACAGTTTCAGCTACAAACCCAAATAGACAAAAACAGAAGAGAGACATAGTAATACCTTTAAAAGGAACAAACCAAGCCAGTCTCCCCTCTTCCGGGATCCTAGAATTTGTGGCACGCACACAGGGACAAGGACAAGAGGTGTGTGGTGTCCCCACCGGGGCCAGCGGACAATTGCTTCCCTTGTGGCCTTTGCTGGTTGAAGAGGCCAGGCCCCCTCTAGGCAGGCAGCTTTCCTAGCAGCTCCGTCCCCTCCCCAGCACACCTGGTTGACCAAGCCCGGGAGCCCAGCCAGACCGCGGGGACTTACCTTGCCCACTCGGTTGATGGCACAGGTGAAGCAGTGATTTGCAATGGCCGCATTTCTGGCCTCAACTGGCCACAGGGACTCACTGTGAGGGAGAAGCGAGAGGAACCAGGTGGCTGACTTCCCAGCCACACGGGCTGGGTGCTCGCTCCCGAGCTACAGCCAGGCTGCCGGCCTTCTCAGCTCTGCAGCGGGGATGGCCAGGGAGACTGGTGTGGCTGCAGGTGTCCCCAAACCCACGGGCAGGCCAGCTTGTCCCGTGCTCAAGCCCAAGCAGCCTTTTGGGGCAGGTCTGCTGCAGGCCAAAGCAGCCCTGAGCCGCAGTTTTCTTTTCTGAAACTTCCTGAAAGGGATATTGTCAGGACTGACCACACCGGTGAAGCTTCTAGAGGGGGCTGCATGGCAGAAACTCCATAACTGCTCGTTCTCTCTCCTTCCCTCCTCCTGGGTTGGGTGAGGAACTCACCTTCCGGGCCGGTCAGGGCCTCACCTGGCAAATGTCAGAAGGGAGCTGGGGGCCTAAGGGCTCATGCACAGCCCTCTGTGGGCTCCAACTGCTGCCCTAATCCCTATCCTGCTCTGTTGCCTTGCAAAGCAGTCCCCAGAGCAAACAGAGGAAACCTGAAAGGAATTTAGGTAACTGGAAAGGGTAGTAGATTCTGTAGTAGGTGTCATCTCCCCTGAGCCGGTCCCCATCTCCCAGTGCCTTCCTATTTTCCTCTCCTGAATCCCGAGACTCTAAGCAGAGGCTCCTTGGCCCTCTTACTGGCCCAGAAAGGAGGCACCACAAGGGCACAGCTGAGCTGTGGGCCTTCCTCAGTTCGGCGCCCACAAAGGTAGGATAGGATGAGAAGCGATGTCCCAACTGAAGACCCCGCCCTTCTCCGGCCCACCAACTACAATATGCCATGGAGTCCAGTGGGCCTTCTTGTCACTAATTATCTCTTGTCTGAGGAACAACATCATTAGGATTCTGGATTGACAGGTGTAATGCCCACTTGGAAACACTAAGTGACTGGGAGCAAAATGCCCTGGAATCTTTCTTCCTGTCAGTGTGCACCTGGTTTAAACCGGGAGTAGGTGGAGGGAGTGGGTGCTTGACAAGCCTAATTCTCAGGAGGATTCACGAGTCTGGAAAAAAAAAAATCACAGGCTTGATTGAGGGGACTCATTTGCTGCTTTTTTTCCCCCAGCTGCTAAGCCAAGCTGACAAAACTTTTAAGAAAGGCTTTTTATAGAAACACACCCGTAAAATGACATTTTCAGGAATTAAATAGACAGTTGCAGGGTGAGTGCCATAAAACATCTTTCTTGCAATTCTCCTGGGAGGGTACGTTGCGTAGGACTCAAACCCACAGCTGGCAATAAAACTTAGGCTCTCCAAACAAGCAAGGGAGAGGAAGCTGGAGGTTCATGAGAGCCCAGCGTGTGCGGGAATCATGGAGAGCCCACTGGGGGCATGGGGACATCTGCCTTATTCCCAGTGTGGCTACACTAGCCCCTAAAAATAATCATGGTGGGAAGAAGACACGCATTGAAGGGATGAAGGCACAACTCTCCTATTCACACACATATGTGGCCGAAATCTTAGACCACATGGGCTGCATGGCGCCATCAGGACGACTCTGTTCATCAAAACACACTTCAATTCTATTGTGTGCTTAGAACTGTGGGACCCCCAAAATGAGTGAGAACACCCCACCAACCCACAGAGCATGTGGGAGTCGGGGGGACAGGACATGCCGGAGAAGGGATGGATGGTTCCAGAAGCCATTATTTATGTGCAGCTGGTGGGGATTTGCCTGACCTTGTGCTGAAAAACATTCACCATCAATTCCATAAATAATCATTTATCATTTTAAGAAAACCACCCAGAATCCCACCATCCTAATAAACCATCTGTTGTAATTTTTCTACACTCCACATCTATCCTTGGCAAGAAATGTTTACAGAGCTCTGACCGCAGCCTGGAAACATCTTTCTTTGCTCACAGGTTCTTGTCATGAGGCTGCATTATCTTCAGAATGACTTTTGAGTGGCTGTGCACTAACATGGAAGAGATGGGCTGAAATTTACCTAACCCTGACATTTCTCTCACCTCTAGCTCTTTTATTATTATAAATAAAGCTGCCAGAAACATCTTCATGCATACAGCCTTTTCCTCCTCTTTTAGACACTCTGTCAGGTAAAGTTTTAGGAGTATAATTATCCGGTCAAAGGGTGTGAACATTTTGGGAGCTCATGAAACATACCACTTTCCAAAGGACCTGTTACCGTTTTAACTGACAGCCTCATCATACCCTTGAAAGGCACGAGTTGGATGATTGTTGGTTGAGAAAGGAAAATCAATAATTTTTAATAAGCCTAATAGGCTGCTGAAGACGCAAGCAGTTATGTGCATATTACATTGGGGTGCTTCTGTGTGCTTAATTGGGGCTAATAAAAGCCCGACAGAATAAGGTCAGGGATGCGGCCGTCTGAGCCTGAGTCCTCAGCTTTGCCTGCCTTGGCCCAAGAGCCAGTGCAGGCAGAGATGCTCAGCGCATTGGCTTCAGGTTCCTCGAGGGACCCCTGCAGGTAGATGGCGCTTGCTGAATGCCTTACACATGGCTGGCAGGAGGAGGTTGCTCCAGGGGCCTGGTCCGGAGGTTCTGCCCAGGTCCGGATGCTGGATGACCACTAATTACCCTACGTCACAACTGCCTTTGGATTCTGTCATAGTAACCAAGCTGCCATGAGGCCCCAGGGAGATTCTTCAGGGGATGTCGAAGACGAGTTTTTTCCCCTTCTGCCCAACAGCACCCCTCCGGGACACAGACAGAAACTTCGGGTGCACGGAGGGGGCAGCTGACCTGAGGTAGCCCACTAGGTTTGCGTTCTGGCTCATTGAGGGACCTGCTGTGCAAATCAGAATGCTGTGGGGATGTCGCTCTTGAGAAGGGGGCACAGTGCTTAGAAGAAAAGGTAAAGTAAATGTCACATTCTGACCTTCAGAAGAAATTAGACTGCAATTTAGTCAAGAGAGAAGAATGACAGGGGTAGGCTGGCAGGGAACTCAAAGCTGCCCACCAGAACTGTCCCAGCTGCTCCCCACCGAGGGATCGGGGCCCTCCCCACCACCAGCGTCCCACTGCTAGGGCATTGGCAACCAGGACAACGAGAGTGAAAGCCAGCACCTCCTCATTCAGGAATCCTGCTTTGGAGGAAGTGAGTTGGGGAGAAAGATATTTGCACATAATTCCTAGAATTCTGGTACTTGTTAATGATGCAAAACTGGAAACCACCCAAATACTCAGCCATTGGGGAAGAGAGAAGCAGCGGAAGTGCAGTCATGCTGGGTCATCTTAGCTCACCCACCATTATTAAATGAAGGGCCCCAGGGGTCTTGTGCAGGGGCCCAGGAACTGCCAGGGCCCGCCCCCCCCCACTGCCTTCATCAGGATAGATTTATCTGTTTCAGGATGAGGCTAACACCAAAACTCGTGTTAGGTGTTAGAAGAAAACACTTTGCTGGTTAAAAACAAATTTCAGAGCCACTTGGCTGATCTCTTAAGGACCCTCTCGGTTTTGATTCTCTCATTGGCTCCTTCCCTCGTCCAGGTGTCTGCCCTCCATGTGCTGGATGTCGCAGACAAGAGGCTTAGGAATCCGTGGTCCCTCTGTGAGGGAGCACAGTGGCCGTGACAGGGAAGGGGGCTAATTCTGACCAGGCACCTACTATGCTCTGGGCACTTTAGAAGAGGAACTTTTTGGAAGCCTGACAATTATGGCGTGAGTGGAGGGGGACTGTTATCCTCTCAGTGTTCAGAATAATAGCAAAGGAATAGTATTTTACAGCAAAGCAGCTCTCGGCGGGGGGGATCTTAATTGATGTTGAGTATTTTTTTTTTTTCACAGTTCTGAAATATACAACACGCAATCCCATGGCTCAGATTTGTTAGACAACCTGGTGGCCTCACTTGCCTGCTACAGTTTACCAAACCCACCTCTGAACCCTGCTGCTTGGCCATGAGCCGAAGAGAGCTAGGTCCCAAGAACCCTCCCAGATCCTACTTGCTGAGAGACCTGAGTGCTCCAATGGTGGCTGAGGGGTTGAAGATGATCTCAGCCCCGTTGATGCTGTACATGAGCCAGTTGAGAGGATGGTGCCGCCCGTAGCAGATGTTCACCGCAATCCTCCCGAACTGAGTCTGGAACACGGGGTGTCCGAGGTTTCCCTCCATGTAGTAAGTTGACTGAAAAACAAAGGGCCATGTATGAAAGCCTCTGATCTGTACAATTTCTCTTTCTTTAGACCTGACAGAAAAAAAGAAAATATTGCCGGGTGCCTGGGTGGCTCAGTTGGTTAAGCGACTGCCTTCGGCTCAGGTCATGATCCTGGAGTCCCGGGATC